GCTGGAGTCGCGGCGGCCGCCGACGAGGTGCAGACGCTGTCGGGCAGCGTGAGGCGGGCCCCGTCTGGACCCCCCAGCACCCCCAGCACCCCCAGCTGCGCAGCCGCTGCAAAGGGCCCCGGCGCGCAGCAGCCCAAACCGGCCAGCTTGGGCCGCGGGCGGGGGGCAGCAGCCGCCATCCTCAGCTTGGGCAACGTGCTCAACTACCTGGACAGGTACACCGTAGCAGGTGAGCTAGTGCCCCACCCAGCCCGAGAACTAGAACCCCCTCCTCGAGGTACCCGGGGAGCCTTTGGTCCCAGGCCCCCTATATCCAAGCCTTACGTGGGGTTCCTAAGGGCCCTCCGCTCAGACACAACTGGGCAAGCGATGCCCCATGATCCACGGGTCCAAGCCAAAGGCCGCCCTGCTCTCTCCCCTAGCCTGGGGTTGGGGGAGTCCCCACCCCTGGAGTAGCCCGCGCGTCCTCGCCAGCCCTTGACATCCCATCCGTTGTCCTCTTCTCCTAGAGTCTCCTCTGCGTCTCTCTGCGTTCTTGCCTCTGCGCCCCCTCCCGCCCCAGCCTCAGGTTCCCGGGCCTCTCCTCCCCTTCCCCCAGCCCAGGCGGTCTGTCCGTCGGTAGCCGGTCAGTTCCTTCCTTCCTCCGTCGCCTCCACTCCCCTGCGTGCGTGCGGCCAGTGCGCGCGCCCCTTGCGGGTGTGCGCCAGGGGAGACCAAATGTGTGCGCGCGGGCGGCGCGGATGTGTGTGTGAGCGTGTGAGCGCGTGGCTGACAAAGGCTCCGGGCTGCGGGGAGCAGAGGGAGGGGCGGGGCGGGTCCGCGGCGCCTGGGGACCCAGGATGCGGTTTGCAGCTGGCTCTGGCTTGAGGCCTGAAGACGCCTCCCCCTGCTCTATGGCGCTTGGGGCTGGGGTAGGGCGCAGGCCGCCGGGGCTAGAGAGGGGCTGCCTCATCTTCCGTGAGTGTCTCTGGGAACGAGCTTGGGGATGGGCTGGGGGTCGACAGAACAACTGGGTTTTAGTCCGGGCTTTGCCGCTCAAGTGCTTGGTGTGTGACCTTGGGCCAGTCTCAGCTCATATTTAGGTCTGTTTCTAGGTTTGTGAGGTGGCTGATCCCTGGGCCCTTTGGGGATGGACAGCGTCCTGGGATTCCGGGCTGCTCGCTGCCCTCCCCCGGTTCTCAGGGCTCTGTGAGTAGAGACCTTCTCTAGATTGAGTTGCCCCTAGGTGGGAATGGTGCAGCCTTGAGAGAAAAGGACTCCGTTCAGGCTGGCACAGGTGGGGGCTCCCTGCAGGAGGAGAGCAGTGACTGTGTACCTGTGTGCTGACCCAGAACCTGCCTAACCACAGGTTAGTAAAATCTGGAACTACTGAAAAAAAAAAAAAAAACACAAGGAATTTTGGACAGACTATAAAGAGAACTTTGTGGTGATTGAGAGAGGAGAGCCCTGGCGTAAACCATAGGCCACCTGGGTCCCCTTCTCTGGGCCTTAGTCTCCCACTCTGTTGAGTACGGTTTTGTGTCAAGTGGAAAGGAAGAACTCTAATGGGAGAGCAGAGGCTCCCCGCTCCTGCTTTCAAAATCCTTTGGCTCTCTGCCCCTCCACTGTGGGGAGTTGCAGGTGAGTACCAGTGGCACCAGTTTCTGGGTTGGGCTGTCCCCAAGAGGCTCTTACTTGGATCTGTGGAACAGGAATACCCAGCGCCGCCTAAGTGCAGCAGCCCCTGTCATGCATGTGCCATGCTGCCTGGAACTTGGGAGCCTAGGTGCCACCTTAAAGTGGGGAGAAGTCAGAGCACATTGAGGACCTATAGTCAGTGCAAAATAGACTTCTGTATACAGATGGGGAAACCGAGGCCCCTGTACGACCCTCGTCCAACATGACCAGGCTAGCATTAGATCTACCAGTAAGCCCTGACCTGGGAAGAGCTTTCCCACCCTCTCTCAGCTGGGCGATGAATGGCACATGGCGAGGCTTCTGGCTCTGTAACACTTTCCAACTTGTTTTTTCCGGCCCCAGACCACCCTCTCTGATATTCTTAGAGAAACTGACTCTGCTGGAACTGAGGGTGAGAGGGTGGGATCAGGGAGGTCTGGTGCTTATCTGGCCCCACTCCTACTTGGGTCTCAGAATCAGAATGGGGGAATGAGATAGGAAATTTCTGGTATTTGGTAAGGGGGGATGGAGAGCAGTGGTGAAGAGGGGTGTGGGGCGGTAGGGAGGAAGGCCCGGAAAGCCCTGTGCAAACAGCTGCCTGGGCTGTGCATCCCTCCCTGTCCCGGGAGCTCATGCACTGCCCCGCCCCCAACACACAACATACACGAATTTCCTCTCCGGATAAGCCCGGCTCCCTCTCCCTCTCTTTGTGGTAGACTCCCCCACCACCCCTGCCCCCAAGTTCAGTTTTTTAGGAAGATTTATGTCTCTATGGCAACTACTATGGCTTGATGTGTCTGGAGGGGAGGGGCAGAGGAATGGTCATCCCAGGCCTGAGTCCACCTGTTGCTGGCTGGCCCAGCTGGGACAGAGGAGGGGATGCAGATGCTCCACTGCTCAGTCACCTTTGATGTTCACACCCACCTGACCCCTGAGAACCTCACAATCTGGCCCTGGCTCTCCCATGGAAGAATGAGGGGAGTGCCCGCTCTCTTCCTTTAAATCTGTTCTGGGCATTTCTGTCTTCGCGGTGTAGACCAGCTCTGTCCGAAAGGAATATAATGCAAGCCATATATATAATTTAAAAATTTCTAGTAGCCACATTAAAAAAGTAAAAAGAAATAAGTGAAATGAATTAATGTACTTTATTCAACTCAATATATCCAATGTATTTCAACATGGAATCAATATAAAAACTATTAATGGGATATTTTGCCCTCTTTTTCATACAAAGTTTTGAACGCCAGTGTGTGTTTTACATTTACAGCACCTGTCAGTTTGTTCTGCCGCATCTCAGGTGCTCAGCAGCCACGGGGGCTAGGGGCCCCTGCAGTGGATACTGTAGGTCTAGAGTCTTTGATGCCAGGTTCGAGTCCAGGCTCTTCAACTTACGAGCTGTGTGACCTTGGGGATGTCGCCTCAGCCTTCTGGGTGATCGTTTCCTCCTCTCCACCTCTGGGGTTGTGTGGAGTAAATGAGAATGTCTCTTTAGCACCCGGGACAAGGCCAGACTCCTAGGCGACCTCGCAAATGCAGCTGCCTTCTCTTCCAGGCCCCTGCTCAAGCTGTGCCCCGGCCGCGATTCCCGTCCCGTTTTTCTCTGTTTCAGGACGCCTCCCTTCTCCACCATGGCTGGTCTCCATCCTGGGAACTCTAGTAGGTTCTGCCTCTGCCCTAGCATTCCCAGCGCCACCCGTGATCCTGCTAATTATGGCTTCTCCTCCTCCCCATGAGAACCCCCTGAGGGCAGCAGGCCTCAGAAGCAGGTGCGGAGGGCCTGGCCCTCACTGAGCCTTGCTTCCGTTGGATGAAATTGAGGCAGCCCAGAAACCGCCTCTACACCGTTCCCGCCAACTCCTTGTGCGGACAGGGACACTGACGCCCGGAAAATGCGGGCAGTTATCCAAGGTCACACGGCAGGACGGAGCAGGACCAGAACCCCCTCGTATGGTGTTCTCCTAGTGGAGGCAGGGGTGTGCCCCCTGCTTCTGGCCTGGAAACTTGGAGACTGCGCTGGCTAGGGCACAAGCCCTCTGGGCAGATGAATTTCAGCTCAGTTGAGCAAAGGCAATTTGAGCTCCCCTAGGGCATGTGGCTCCTGCCCCCATGGCCCCAACCAGCCTGGCAGCCCCCCACTCTCCAGTCTGAGCCCACTCACGGATACCAGGTCAGGAGGAGGAGGGAGCCCCTCAGGAGGAGCGAGGTCTCCTCATCTCAGCTCTGCTGGCTGGTGCCAGAGCTGCCTCTGCCCCTGGGCGCCCGTTCCCCCATCTGTAAAATGGAAGCAGAGCTGCGGGTGGAGGTGGCAGCGTTCTGCTCCTGGAACCAGGCCCAGCAAGAGGGAGCTGGCGCAGGCCCTGTTCATGGTTGGAGGACTGTTTGAGAGCTGAGATCCTTCCCCAGCTTCTCTGGGGCACCTGGCCCTTCCTGAGACCTGTTTTCTTTTGATCCAGCCCGTGGCAGGTTGGGCACTTGAAACAGGGTGGAGCAAGGGCTCATGAGGAGAGGCGGAGCCCTGCCCTCGGGGAGACCTTTTCTGCCAAAGAAGCTGAGACCGGTATCCATGGCAACCGCCCACTAACACAAACCCAGAAGAAGAGCGGAGCACAGGGACCCAGACGGGAACACAGGCCTGGCGGGGACTGGGGGCTGCCCCAAACACCTGAGCTGGGTGCAGGAGGGGGCTTCCAGGCTGGGCCTCCTCGCTCCTTTTTGTCCCCCTGGTCAAGTATGTCCAGAGCTGACAGATGGGGAAATGAAGGCCCAGGGCCTTTTACAGGGTCTCTTGGGTGTAGAGGCCAGGCTGAGCCCCAAGCTCTGTGGCTATCTTTGTGGATAAGGATAGTCAACACTGCCCCGGCCCTGCCCCCCTCAAGTGGCCTTGTCCCCTTGGGTAGCCCCGCCCTGGCCACCGCCAAGTCAGCATTATCTCAGGTCTACAGGGCGGGGTGTCCCAGGGCCGCATTCCAGAGCACCTGCTGGCAGGTCAGCACCCAGGGGAACCGCCCGCTGGCCTGGAATGACTAACCAGCAGCTGCCCACTTTCTTGCTCTTCTTCCTCCTCAGGCACCTTCCGGCTGCTTCTGCCAGCACCTCGGCTGAGCTGTTGACCTGGCAGAGGAAGTGCCTTGAAACTCACCACCTTGGTCTGGGACTCAGGGCCAGTGCCCGGCCCAGCCTGTGATTAGGACAAGAAGGCTTCAGGGCTGCAGGTTATGCCTGGTCCAAGAGTGAGGCTGCCCCGGTCAGAGCTGCTCCGAGAGGAGGAGCCCCGGGTCCCTTCCCCAGACAGGAAGTGGCTTTTGTTTCTGCCTGGGTGTGGGGCCTGAAATCCTGAGGGCAGAAGTGGGATGAGAGTGAGGGAAGCAAAGAGGACACTGGCTCCATCCCCAGGCTCCTGGTGCTGGGCTCCCTGTTGGGCCCTGACTGTCTCCTGGGCTGAACTTCCTCTTCCTGGCTTTGCCAGACTTGCTCTGTGACCTAAGGCAGAAACTGACCCTCTCTGAGCCCTGCATCCACAACAGATGATTTTGTTCCTCTCTTTCTGTGGTCAGGGTCTTGCTCTCAAGGGTA